TTCCAACCCAAACTATCCTGGGACTCTCTGACACCTCACAGTAGGCTCCTTGTCCAGACCTAGAGCAAAGCCTCACCCCAACACCACCATTGTCTCCAGCTGTGGGACAGTTCCTGGCTGCTGCTGGCCATGATGGCAGGAAGGAGACTCAGGACATCTACAAGTCTGAGCTTTGCCTCCTTCCCCTGTCCCATCCCTTACAGGCACAGACAACACCTCTTGTCCTCTCTCTTGCCTATCACCCACCCCAAAACTCCTTGTCACCTGCTCCAGCACCACATTGAACGACCCAAATGACATCTCCAAGCCTTCCCAAGTGGTTTGGTGAGCTGCAGGGTGACCAGTGTCCCTCCTCTCTCCTGCAGCCCCGTTGGTGGCCGTGCTGTGCCGGTGGCTGGGCGAGCTGCCGAGCTCCCTCGCCGGGGCAGGGCTGGTGGCTGGGGGATGTCTGCTCAGCACCCAGGCCACCTCTGTCCCCTTCCTCTGCATCTCCATGGGACTCCTCCTGGGTGAGCACTCACAGCCTGGGCCTGGGCATCATGTGGGGAATCAGCTCTTGGAACCTTCAGCATGGTGGAGGGTCTGGTGGGGACAGATGAGGAGAACCTGAGGGAACTTCGGGTGTGCAGCTGGAGGAGAGACTGAGGGCAGAGCTCATGGGGAGCTGCAGCTTCTTCCTGAGGGACAGCACCAATCTCTGCTCTCTGTGACAGTGACAGGACACAGGGAATGGCTGGAGCTGTGCCAGGTGAGGGTTGGGATGGATATTGGGAGAAGGTTCTTCCCCCAGAGGTGTTTGGGCACTGAACAGCTCCCCAGGGCAGTGGGCACAGCTCCAAGGCTGACAGAGCTCCAGGAGTGTTTGGCCAATGCTCTCAGGCACAGGGTGGGATTTTGGGGTGTCCTGTGTGGGGACAGGAGTTGGACTCTGACCCTTGTGTGGACCTTCCAGCTCAGGCTAAGCTGTGATTCTGCAGCCAGAGGTGGCACAGCATCCCCAGCTCCTTACTCTGATATGTCACCCTCAAAGCTTCATGCTCAGGAACACAAACCACCAACTTCAACACCCTATTCCCAACCAACCTGGATTTCTCCTGGTCCTACATGACCTTTCAAACCCTCTTCCTGTGAGGGCAGAGCCTCAGACACTCAGACACTAAGCACCACACACGAAATCTCCCTGTGCCACAGGAGAAATCCAACACTTCAGGCCATGAACGTTGGAGAGCAGAGAGCACAGAGAGCTTGGGGTGGTGGGACTGAGAATCCCAAGGGCTAGGAGTCACTTTTGGGGCCTGGATGGTTGATGTTTTCCTTCCCCCAGGGCTGGGGTTTGCCTGTCTGTACCAGGCAGCTGCAGTGGTGACAGCCAAGCGCTGTAGGACACGGTTGGCCTTCTCCAACGCCATTGCTCGCTCTGGGATGGGGTTGACCTTCCTCATGGCTCCTTTCACTCAGCTCCTCATCGAGTTTTATGGCTGGCAAGGTGAGCACATCACCTCCTTGGGCAAATTCAGCTCTCACAGGGCCTTTGGTGGCTTATCTGGGCAGGATGGAACTGGTGCTGGGAGAAGAATCTTCTCCCCTTTGGAGGAATTAAACTTCAACACCTCAAGGAAGATCTCTGCCTCTTCTAGGGTGGTTTGGGGACATCTTGTTGATGATTAAACACTTAATCACTCATTAAAATCAGAGGCAAAACAGAGTTCAGAAAGCAAAACCTGAGTTTACTGTGTTGTTTCAGGCCAACTTGAAGGTCCAGCACAACCTCTAATGAGGGAGAACAAAACAAACCCCCAAATCCCAGAGGTAGATCTGGAGTTATTGGGTGCACAGCAGCAAAAAGGCACTTCCAGGAATAAAAGCCAGGGATAAAACCAGGAATAAAAGCTCCTGGTTTCCTAGATATCCTGGTTGGGTATCTCCTCCTTCTGGCAGAGCTTTCTCCATGCTCAATGCAAACCACAACTTGTTCTAGATCATTTCCCACTGCTCCTCCTTCTCCCTCCCAAGACTAAATCACCTTGTGCCTTCCCTCCAGGTACTCTCCTGATTTTTGGAGGCATCATGTTGAACCTTGTGCCTTCCAGCATGTTGCTGAGACCCACCAGCCCTCAAGGGCCTCGAAGCTCCTCTGCACAAAACAGACCCTGTGGGACTTTGTTGCCAAAGAAGGATCCAGAAACTCCTGATGGAGTCACTCACAGGGAATTCCAGCTTGGCACTGCACAGGAGCTTCCCACCATGGTGGTGTCCCATGGAAGAGATGACTTTGGGCCAGGGAATGCATCAGCCTTGGGAAGGCTGGAGAAAAACCCCATGGAGACAGAAACTGAGGCTAAGAGAAGCCACAAAGCTCTTCCACTGCCTAAAAAAGAAGCTTCTCAGCCTCTCCTGGATTTCTCCCCACTGAAGGATCCTGTCTTCTTCATCTTCACCTGGTCTTTTGTGTTCAGCCACTTGGCTTACTTCGTGCCCTTCTTCCACCTGGTAGCCAGAGCCAGGACCTTGGGCATCAGCAGCATGGAAGGTTCCTACCTCATCTCAGTGGCTGGTAGGCAAGAGAAACTTTCAAACCCATTTCTGATGGCAGAGGTAGCAAAAGAGGGAAGAAAACCTACACATCTTGCCAAGAAACAGGCCCAGATGTGAGCTGGAATGAATCCTCCTGCCAAGGGTTGAGCTCCAAACCCTTTTAGCCCCTTGTGGAGTCACTCTCATGTGGTGGGAGGTTCTCTCAACCCAACTTAGATGGTTCCCCATCCTCTCCCTGCTCCAACTTGAGAGCTACAAAGGTGCTATGTGTCCTCCTGAGACCTTCTCACCACACTCCCTGCTTGGCTTAAACTCACACAAATCCAGAGGTGCTCAACCATCCAAAGAGCTCCAGGAGAGAAAAAGTCCAAGTCTCCTTGACTCAGGAGAGAAAAAGTCATTATTAGGGCAAAAAAACAACCCCACACGAAATTGGATGTTGCCACTTGGATTTGGCATATTCACCTCCAAAAGGAGGGAAAAAACACCCCACACTTCCCAGGAAATCAGTTCCAGGTATGATCCTAAGCAGGGATGGCCATCCAAGGGTGAAGAAAAGCAGCTCCAACCTCAATCAGCAGCAAATATTTTATTGGCCAAAAATATATTGGATTTGAAGAGGGATGTGGAATATTTAGCAATGATTTGCTCTCAAGGCATCAAGGAGAGCCCAGAAATCCATGGAATTGAGGAGCAGGGACATTGGGAGAGTGAGAGAGGAGCTGTCAGGGAGCTCCTCTGAGCTTTGGTGCAGAGAAATGGGTTGGGAATGGTGAAAAAATCAAAGTATCAAAAGTTTGTTGAGGCTGAAAAAAAGTTCTGTGCATATTTCTTGTTCCTATCCTGATTTTTCTCCATCCTCCAAGGGATCAGACAAGTTTCTCTTTCCTTCTTCACCTTGAGGGTTCTGCTGAGTTCAGAGCCCTTGAGAGAACTTTTACAGCTCATTTAGGTACCAGAAGACACCAAAGGAAAGGGGAAAAAAACCCACCAGGAACTTCCCAAACACCTTTCTATAACTTTCCAGCCTTTCAGCCCTTTGTGGGCACATCCTTAAGGTGGAATTGGGATGTGCCAAGGTGGAAAGAGCCTAAAATAGCAAAGTGAAGTGTTTTCTGAGGCTCTGTGACCTCCTGTCCCCGCAGGGATCACGGAGATGCTGAGCCAGCTGCTCTCAGGGTGGGTTGCAGACCAGAACTGGACCAAGAAGTATCACTACCACGTGGCTTACCTTGTCCTGAGTGGCATCACCAACCTGCTGGGGCCCTTGGCCACCACTTTCCCCTTGCTCATGACCTACACAGTGGCCTTTGCTGTCTTCTGTGGAGGCTTCATGGCTCTGATTCTTCCTGTGCTGGTGAGTTGGAGGTTTCATTCCAAAACCGACTTGTTCCCAATGCCAGAATTGTCTGAAACACACATAGAACTGTTATGGAAGGATCATGCTGGAGGTTATGGGGAAGCTCCAAGGGTTGGAGCAGCTCTGCCCTGGAGCCAGGCTGGGAGAGCTGAGGGTGTCCAGCCTGGAGGAGAGAAGCTACAGGGAGACCTCAGAGCCCTTTTCAGTGCCTCAAGGGGCTTTAGGAGAGCTGCAGAGGGACTTGGGACAACGGATGGAGGGACAGGACACAGGGAGTGGATTTCCACAGGAAAAGTGGAGATTTAGATGGGAAAAATGAGGAAGAAATTCCTCCCTGTGAGGTGCTGAGGCACTGGCACAGGTTGCTCAGAGCAGCTGTGGCTGCTCCATCCCTGGGAGTGTTCCAGGCCAGGCTGGACAGGGCTTGAAGCAACTTGGGCTAGAAGATGTCCCTGCCCATGGCAGTGGTGGCACTGGGTGGTCTTGAAGGTCCTTCCATCCCAAACCATTCCAGGATCCTGGAGCTTCTCTGCCCTGGAGCCAGGCTGGGAGAGCTGAGGGTGTCCAGCCTGGAGGAGAGAAGCTACAGGGAGACCTCAGAGCCCTTTTCAGTGCCTCAAGGGGCTTTAGGAGAGCTGCAGAGGGACTTGGGACAACGGATGGAGGGGCAG